CATGTTGTATAAATAAGTAGATGTGTACCTACTAGTATTGAGTCATTTTAATGGCCAAATGTATATGGATATATTAGTTTTAGAAATTAAAGCTTCTAATTGATTTTGAATTTGGTTGTTGTTTGTAAGGTGGAAGGAAAAAGGCCACGTGGCCGATCACCTAGCCGATGGTGTGACCAAGTTACCAACTACACTGGACTCTCTGTTACGAAAGCCCTGAGAGAAGCCGAAAACAGGGCAAGATGGAGGGAAATAATACAAAGAGCAATGAAAGCCTTTCAGGGGCACGACCTTCAGACATGAAGCAAGCGATCGAGAAGATGAATTGGTGTTAAGTCATTGTAACAAATTAATTTTTATACAAACTAAAACATTTTCGAGCCATGCAATTCTTGTCGACCAAGATCAACAGCTGTTTATCAAGTTAAGTTATTTAACTTCTTATTTCATAATTCGAGGGCCGATGAAACACGAAGTAAACACGAACACTGCCGAACATTTCCAAAATTAACAGATAACAAAAAGATGAAAAGATATTTTAAAGAATTGGTTTAAAATACCAATTTGTATACATCGACCGTTTTAGTATGTATGTCGAACACCTTGTATGCTGTAAACAGTTATCTATATATTCAATAATTCTGGAATTCGGATAACTTAGAAACAGATTGAGATAAGATGAGTTGCATGAGGGCTTGGATTCTATTACCGGGTCGAGTAAAAGGAAAATTAGGCGTCTACACTTTTGATTAACCTTTGGTAAATAAAACCACAGCATTCAATATGTATGTATGTACGTATGAATACATGTATGTATATTTATTCGTCAATTCAAGAATTTGGCGCCTGACCACAGAAAAAGAAGACACTAAAACCAAATGCCTATGATAATACAACCAATTATACATTTAAATTTATTCAGTCATACATTGCAAGTTAAGAGAGAAGAGCGGAGTAAACATCGTCCATAAAACCAGTAATGGTTATGGCATAATTTTAGTACTCATATTACTTTGATACCTTATTTAATATTACAAGCATGTAATTTCTTTATGACGTAGGTAAAAGTGAATACATTTATCGTGAACTTCTGTGTAGCTAGTTATAATTATAATTATAAACGACGTTTAAAAAAACCGACTTGAATCCCCTCTTTTCATGAAGTCGGTTAAATAATATACTTACTAGAGTATCTATTATTTTAGTTTTTTGTAAATTTCTCAGTAATTGTATTGGTTACGGAATTGGGATGATGACAAGATATGAAAATTAAAAATTTAATTAGTCCGTAAGTTAGGTAATGAAAAAATATTAGACACGTATTTTTTTATTTTGTCGTTTAGGAAATCAATACTTAGATAAAACGAATCAAAGTTTAGGAGTGGGAGCTAAAACGTCATTTCTACGTATAAAATGTACATAGAAGTGACGTCACGCGACATTTCAAATCAACATATCGTCGAAAGTATTCGTTGCTGTAAGAAAATAAAAAATACTTAGGTATCTAATAATTTACAATAATCTACCAGACGGACATTAAAATAAAAATTAGGCATCTACCCTATTGTGCCATGTATCTGTATTGTAATGCATGAGATCTCTGTATTACATGAGACCTACTAACAGTGAGAAATGGATTATATTGTATGTCTTACTCGGCCTAACACTTCGGGAATAATAAAGCGTGTCGTTATATTGAATTACTATGTTTATACTATTATCACTTACGTGAGACATACTAAATTAATTATTATATTTACGGCATACTCAAGTAACTATTTGATGAGGAACTCGACTAGTATTGCGGCGACTCCAGCGCTACAGTTGCCGCATCCTGTGTCGCGGAATGCTACTCATGAATATGAGCCACTAGCATGGCTTGAAACTAGTCGAGGACCTCGTAAAATAGTTGCGTGTGTAAGCCGAAAACATAATAATTATTATATATAATTAAATAAAAAATTAGACACAATTCTAGACTGCGTTCTATATGAGACCTTTTCCCATACCCGAATTCGTATTTTTATTTAGACTATACATAAGTAGGAAGATAAGGGTCACATACTGATCTGTACTTATTTTTAAGTCACCGTAGACCCCCGTAAACGTCGCCCCATGTTTTATGTTACCGTAGCCGCGCGTGCTATTTCGACTAAAGTACATCTATTTTTAAACACAGCTGTTTGTATCTTATCAACGAAGGTTTGCTACGAAGGGAAGAAGATTCGTTTTTGGGTAAATTTTTGATTGATTTTTTAGTTTGGTGAAAGTAAATGCTGATGATGTTTTAAAAGGTTTTTCGGGTTGAGCTGAGGGTATTTGATTTATTATGAACTAGCTTTTACCCGCGGCTTCGCTCGCGTCACAAAAGGATAAAAAGCCTATGTCACATATATCAATATACGCAGCGCCATCTATACTAATACTTTTGTTTTATTACTATTATACCCTGGGATATCAATTTTTCCGGGATAAAAAGTACCCTATTATTTAATCCGGACTTCTAACTTTACTTCAGCAAAAATTCAAAACAATCGATTGAGTAGTTACGGCGTGAAAGCGGAACAAACAAACTCACTTTCCGGTTTATAATATTAGTAAGGATTATCACTAAGAATAGAGATGCGATGATAGGAACGAGGACTTTTTTCAGTGTTACATACATCAGCTGGGGCGATGTCGTCAGAGCATATGCTGTTAAATGTGAGTTCTTTTGTGACTGGAAACTAATAGAGTTTGTCTCAATTTATAATTATTTGATGGACCTACATTTGTCCACTATCTCGCCTGGTGGTAAGCGATGATGCTGTACGATGGAGCACGTCGACCCATAAGCAGTCTATACTAATAACTTAACAATTAGTTTAGTATTGTTTAAGTCTACAACATAAAATTTCATGTGTAAAGTAATTTTACTAAACCGTTTAGGAATTAGATACAAGAAGCATTGAAGAATTTAAGTAGGTAATCGCCATTTGACTGCACGCGGCGCAGTGGTTGGGCAAATGACTGCCACGCAATGTGTCCTGGGTTCGATTCTCGCAAGGAACAACTCTTTGTGTGATCCACAAATTGTTGTTTCGGGTCTGGGTGTCATGTGTATGTGAACTTGTATGTTAGTAAACGCAGCCACGATACAGGAGAAAATCATAGTTTAGGGCAACGATTTTTAAAAATAAAATAAATAAAAATAGACTTTAAAAAAAATGAAAAATGTTAGATGTTTTTGACTTGGTTGAAAATAAAGCCATATTCATGTCAAACACATTTTCGAGGTAAAACTAGTTCACCATAAGTCACCTTCTTCTATAATTGCCTTTCCGGCCCAAAATTATATTCTTTACATACAGTAGCTGTATAAATGTGATTATGGCTACGTTTTCACATATAATTGGGAGAGCGTACTATATTACACTTAGACCTATGATTATTTGGTCACTTTCTCTAGAATGAACTATGAAAATGGCTGATTATACGTATAATGGTAATGCACAAAGATTGCAATATAAATATAAGATTCAGTTAGATTTCTCGTCTCCAAATTATGTTAAGTTCTTCTCTAATTTTTTGAATATTAAAGTAATGTAAATTGTATGTAAGTACTTATCGCATTTTAATGTGTCCCAATATAATAAGCTATTTGTTGATGACGATTTCTCTAGAAAATTTTCATAGTAGAATATTATTATATTTTCAGAAAAAATAAATGTTAACAAAGACTGTAGTAGGTATATACGAGTATCGATAATCAAACACTTTTACTAGTTAAAATTCAACAAAAAATATATTTGATTCTGACTGCACGGTTGGTGCGGTGGTTGGGCAACCGGCTGCCGTGCAAAGTGTCGCGGGTTCGATACCCGCACCACCGGAACCGGGACCCGGAACAACACTTTGTGTGATCCACAAATTGTTGTTTCGGGTCTGAGTGTCATTGTGTATGTGAACTTGTATGTTTGTAAACGCACCCACCACACAGGACAAAATCCTAATGTGGGGCAAAGTATTAAAAAAAAGGTTTAGTGTGTAAGGAAGCGCTTAAAACGATTACAAGTAAAATTCAATGATTTATTTTTACTAACACAATAAAAGACTGATGAGCCTGCATAAAAAGAATGATGACTGTTGATGAAGCGAAAGAAGTATGTAAGAATCGTAGCAATTGGCGTTGCATAGTCTCTACCTACTCCCATAGCAGACAGATGTGAGGTTATGTATATTTGTGAAATATTAATGTTGATAAATTGAAAAAAGACCAATTTGTTTAATATAAATAAAAATGCTGTTCGCTATTCGCTTCTAACTTAAACTTCCATCAAAAAATTCCTTAAAAATTCAAACTATTCAAAGACTGTTGTATCTTGTTAACAGCCACAGATCGGCTCAAAAACCATAATCCTCTCATTATGTATGTATGTTTGTATATCAAGATTCTGCTAATCCATTCCATACATATTCATGAAATTGATTTAGGGACAGTCGTCTACATAATTACAATAAAATATTTGACAGATCTTTATCTTTTTTAGGGTTTCTTGCCTTAAAGAGGAAACCTTCAGACTCGACATACTTTTCTTTACAGAGGGCCAAGCACGAATTATCGCATTCGTATCGTAACAGTATCGAGTGAAGTAAGCGTTCTGATTGGTTGGTTCACTCGAGCCGGCCAATCAGAGCGCCGAACGCACTCGATACTATTACGTTGCGATTGCGATAGTTATTCGTGCTTGGTACTCTGTTTGCATTTAGAATAACAATTTCTTATTATACGACGACTTGTCTCGTATGAGCTTCGTTATTTTATAACAGCCATTCGCCTAGCCACTGAGCAGGCAAAACTAAGCACGTGGACACGTTCAGACTATCTCGAAAATATCTGAAGGTATTCAGCCGAAATTTTAACCTCGTCTAAAGTCCCTTAAATACCCTTACATGAAAGATATGAAGAGGTCAAAATCAAGTAGTGATGGCGTTAATACTCTCAATTTTCAACCATATGTGTACGGAACTCTATGCGAATGACTGACTCGCACTTATGCGATGTTTTTTTAATAGTTAATAAAACTGATTTATTAATATATTCAGTTTACTGTGGCCTGATTAAATGGCGCGGAAGATTTATAGTTTTGATTCTATTGTTGATTTAAAGAAAGTTTTTTAATTAATTTGAAAAATGCTTTTGCGGTTTCACGACAGGCATAAGTTACTATTCAGTTAGGAGAATCGATTACAAGGTCACTACGCTTTTCGGATTCAATATTTTATTAAGTTACATATATACGTAGGTACGTACAATAATGGGATGAACAATTTACTGCAAGATACAAAACAAAAAATGTCTTGTACAAGAAAAACTAATAAATTTAAAGGAACCGTTATCAACGAGAATGTACAAATGAAGAGAGAGGATTGAAGTTATAGATAAAGAGAAAACAAACCATGTTTGTTTTATATTTCCCCGAACGCAATTTAGAATATAACATAACATAAGGGCTAGGATAAATGGCTTGATGTTATAGCAGAGGTGCACATTCCAGTATTTAATGTCACTATACAATGTAACACCCACTTTTCACTATATCTGATTTTTTTTGAGGGACGATAATCATCCAGTGATTTCTCCCGCCTGGGTGAGGCGAGAAGGACTGTCAGACTCTTGCTGACTAAAAGCCACCTCGTCCCTACTCTTGCACTTCGAGCCGGAGCCTATTGTTATGAGTTCAAGGTAACCTATTGCCATATATCGGGCACAATTCCAGACTCTGTGCTACTAGTGATAATTTAATTTTAGAAAACCCAGTAATACTTTGCCCTCCCCGGGAATCGAACCCGAGACCCCTTGTACGGCAGTCGCACTTGCGACCACGGCCAACGAGGCAGTCGATTTAGAATATTTAGACCAATAACCTTTTAGACACTATAAAAAGTAAAAATGGATAACCGAAAAGTCGTTAAATAATCGTAAAAATTTCGTTGACGCGTCGATCTGCCGATTTAACTATTAATTAATTTACGAGTTATCTTTATATTGTTATATGAGGTCACTGGAGATTTTAACTGTAAGGTTAATGTAAAACTGTAGTTTTATTTTAATTATTCATTATTTTGATTACTTGATTACTATTGCGTAATACTCTATACTGTACATACTCCTCCATGAGAGGAGAGGCCTGCGGGCAACTGACCGGGGGAGTCAGACGTCCGCTATATAGGCGGGAGTAGGCGTTAGCGTAGTGTTCCACGCGCGCTACTCGAAGAAGGAAAGCAGCCTCCTAGGGCCGCTAAGGTGGCGGGACCTGCCGCAAACATAGCGGTAGGTCGAGGCCTGCCGGGTGTGGTGATTCCGTAAGGGCAACCCGGGTCACGGTCACAGGCAGTGAAGGAACACCGCGGTGGTTTTAGCCGGTATGAGTCCGGCACGCCCCCTCGTCGTCCCCACGGCGCGGGAAGTCCATGAGGATTTCCATCGCGATAAAAAAAAAAATCTGTTTGTGATAATAAAATAACCACTTTTTACTACATGCATATGGATATACATATGATACACAGACCAAAATATTTTTTATATATGGTTTTATGTTTAAACTTAACGGCTAGTTAAACTGTCAAATACCAAGCGGTCACCGGTGACCGCAACCTATTGTTCTATAATTGTGTCTACAAAACCGGTACTCGACGAGTTAAACTTATAAACGACTAGCTTTTACCCGCGGCTTCGCTGGCGTCAGAAAATGACAAAAAGTAGCCTATGTGACATATACCAATACACAGCGCCATCTTTACCAATACTTTTGTTTTCCCTCGGGAATATAAATTTTTCCGGGATAAAAAGTACCCTATTATTTAATCCAGACTTTTAACTTTATGTCTGCAAAAATTCAAAGCAATCGGATAAGTACTTATGGCGTGAAAGCGGAACAAACAAACAAACAAACTCACTTTCCAATTTATAATATTATATAGTAAGGATTTAGCTGCTTTAATTTTAGTACTGAATTTTGTATCCTATAAAAGGGTTTTCGTCTTAGAGAAAAAAGCCCTTTTCATTAAATAAAGATAAAAAACTGTTTTTTGTACCCATAAATGAATAAAATATATAAAACAAAAATTAACTCAAAACTGCGGGTTACTCACGTGAATATACTGAGAAAAGCTCTACTAGTTTCGAAGCACAGAGGGGTTCTTCCTTATGAGTCGAGTCACGTGATTAACCCGCAGTTTTTAGTTAATTTAGTATGTCTCACGATAGTTATTATGAAAACATAAAACAAAAAATACTAACAAAATTCACACATCACTTAATACAACTATTTACTATTTTAATCTTTGCTTTTTAGATTAGCAGGGAATGTCGTAAAAGGTAATTAACCAGATGGCTGATTATGTCAAGTTTTAATTAATATCTAATGGCGATATACTTAGGTACATTTTAAGTTAAAAGCCGTTTTATTGCACTTTTTATGTTTATTCATTTAAATGTATATTTTTATGTACTGTTAGTTAGTTTTTTTAATTATAAGTGAGTATAAAAATGTCGTGTTGACCCGGAGGTTTAAGATGCCCGCTATTCATGCATGAGAATGCGGGTTCGAAACCTACCAACGGCAAGTACCAATGTGGCTTTTTCCGAGTTATATGTACTTTCTAAGATTATTTAGACACCAATGACAAACGATGAAGGAAAACACCGTGAGGAAACCTGGACTTATAATTTCTAATTATAAGTTTGAAATTGCCAACCCGCATTGAGCAAGCGTGGTGATTAATGCTCAAACCATCTCCATGTGAGAAGAGGCTATGCTCAGCAGTGGGCATTTATAGACTGTTGATGATGTGATAAGTGAGTATGCACTTTCAATGTAATTTAATGATTATACTTAAATTAGTTACTAACACATCTTTTTAGCTCTAAAAGGAACAGGTTATTATATTTACGGATCTGTAGCTAAAAGGTAAAAATGAGATTTTATTAATGCGTTATCTAAATTTATTAAAAAAAAAATTCTGGAAATTTACACGTAAAACACTAGACGCAGTAGACACTATTTACATCGCCGGAAATCGAACCCGAGACCCCTTGCCCGGCAGTAGCACTTGCGACATTTTCATACATCACCAATTAATTTTTTGTCAAACTTTAATGTGCTTTGATATCAAAATTAAAAATCTTGCTAATAGGTAGCAATAGTTAATTTGAATCAATAATTAAATTGTTTTTGATAATAAATTAAATCCTTATCAAAATCATGAACCGTACGATGTTAGAACAAGCTTTGATTTGTTCTACCGCAAAAATTAATGACGTACAGCGTGTTTAGAAATGTAAGGAATTTATTTTTCTTAAAAAATTCGCATAGACATGTTTTGTTATTCATTTATTTAAATAGAATATAGATATATCCTTATAAATCGTAAGCCACAATTTAGCAACATTTTTGTCGGTATTATTTATTTGTTTTACTGTGCATACATTGTGGTTTAAATAAATAACGTCGTGTTCAATCAAAAATAAATAATAATAATACTATCTAAGAAAATCTAAGAAAAAATTATTTAATGAAAAAAAGGTTTAAAAAACTAACCTGATCTTGTGGTTCCATGGCAAATCTCTGTTCTTGGTAACCATGGCAACCGACAATCAAAACGAAGAACGACAGGAAGCAAACGCCGACATCCGGCCGAGCCCATTTCCGGCGCCTTTCCGTGCTATATTTGAATTTGGAATCAGCCCTGCGTACGCGCAAGGATATTAATGGCGTTCCGTTTTCAAATGTCTCTTTGTGTTGTACCGCCATCGTTATATGTGTGAAGCATATTGATGACTGATATCCGTTTTTCTGTACATTTGTGTTGATTTTTCAGGAATTCTTGTTAAACATTTTATCTGAAACAAAAAGAAAAGACTTCTTAGTCCAATTTTTTTTAACAAAACTTTTGCTCCCGTAGATAGTCTTCTATGTCGTCGGTGCATTTACACACATACAAGTTCACATATACATGACAACCAGACCCGAAACAAAAATTTGACTTTGGAACAAAGAGTTGTTACGTGCGGGGATCGAACCCACAACACGTTGCGCGGCCGCCGGTTGCCCAGCCACCGCTCCAACCATGCAGTCAAATTTATATCTTTTGGGTGAAACGTACGATACCTCAAGGTATGATCATGACCGTGGTGTATAATATTTATAAGTACATTTAATTGTAATGCCTAGTGACTCGACCCCACATTCAAACCATTGCAACGGTTTTGTGGGACTTAAATTATAACATACTGTACTTACCTGTGTGATTTAAAGATAAATAAATAAATAAATAAACAACTTATTGTCAAAAAATTGTAATTCTCAATAGTGATTGATAGGGATCGAATTTCAAGAGATCCACTTTTTGACCGTTATTTTTTTTAATACCAGTTCCAAAGTCAAAATAATTACAACCAATAAACAAAAGAAGTGGGCATCCAAAAAAATATGTAATTTTATCTCTACACACTGTTGTCTACCGAAACGATCACATTAATGTGGTCAAACTATTAATTATTTTTTAATTTATTTAATTGTGCCCATCTTAAGTTTGATTTGCATAAGTGTGTTATAAATTAACATGGATTCTTAAAATGTTTTCTTACCTGTTTAGGCATTATAGTAATTTAATTTGTTATTTTAAATTCAGAATTGACGCCATCATTTTCAACGGAATTCCGAGTTTATTGTATTCAAATAATATCAAAAATTCGTTGATGGATAACATTTGGCGATCTGACTGTCAAGCAAAGGGTTTGATTTTTAAGTAGAGCGAAATGCATTCAGATTTTTTTAAATTCATAGTAGGTAGACTTAAAGTATACAGTCAGTAAGTCTACAGCCCTCTACCACAGACTAATGCCTATTCGGACTCGCGGAGAACCTAACGGGTTACCGGGGCTCCGAATCGAAGCGCAGGAGAAGGAACGGAGTGGTTTTTAGTCAGTAAAAGTTTCACACTCCCTCCCGCCTCACCCAGGCGGGAGCATTTATTCGATGATGTTCCCCCTTTAAAAAAAATAACAATAAAAAGTCTACAGCCCTCTGCTTACGTTTTCGAGAATAACAAGCGAGATATGATAAAATTATACATGCAGTGGTATTTCAAAAATATTAGTCAAAACAGTCGCTACTCAAAATATTTCGGTCGCAACTGACATGGGCATAAAAACTCGAAGATTGCCTATTAGGTACCCCCTGTAGTTTTATATAAGTTTCAAGTAATTTTCTTATAAATTATTGCATTTTGATCGGCCATTTTTATTCACATTTTATTATTACTGTCAATAATGTAATGATATTTGATATTTTAAATATATCAAGTTTTTTTAAATCGTTTTTGTTTTAATGTTGACCTGTGACCTAAGGCTTAGAAATAGTCTATAAACTTGTATTAATAATCTAATGCAGGAAGGCGGCTGATAAGGATATTAAGTTATTAAGGACTATAACCTGAAAATGGCTATCAAACACAGGGACGCGGCAGTCATGGGTGCTCTCTTGGGCGGGGAGTGTTGCTTATGATGAAACGAATGCAACATGAGGAAACGTGTGTGCAGAAACATGTAGAAATAGAATATAACCAATTGACTTTGGACTATTGTACGCTTTATTGGAATCGGCCCACGTGGCAAGGGTTGAGGCGCCATGCACACATAAATGTCCTACAGTCGGTGGCGCTGTGTGTTGGGTTGTTCCGTTCCCAATAAAAAGGTTGACCGGACCAATTGCTGACACACACGTCATACTCGTGAACATCTTGTTGGTGGGCTGGTTTCATAAAGCCTTTGAAATAGAAATAAATAAATAGTGCCTAATTATTATGTAACCTATACTTTTGGTAATAATTATAGATGTAGTTAATTGTAGTGTGTAACTAGGTTCCCTCTTTACTTTATAAAAATTTACTAGATGTATTATAATTAAAAACTGTATGACAAGGGCACGGACCTAGAGTCCGTGGAGAAATAATCTATAATATTAAAAAAAAAACTTGTATTAATAAGAATGACAGAATGGTAATAATTTAAATATTTTAAATAATTTTTAACTTTGCAGTTGACCAGTCACTTTAGGACGAATATCACCGTCACCGAGTATGAACAATATTTTGGTAACGCCACGACGCGACGCCTGACAAAATTGTGAATTATGGCAAATCCTCTTTTGAAGGGATAAGTTCGTTTAGTCAATGATAATGATTATTTTAAATTACATAAAAATTCTTACTGGTACAACTAACATAACATCATCAACATAACA